GGAATGATACCTACCTTTGATAATGCTAAAGCCTCATCAATGGTTCTTGGATATCCATCTAAAATGTATCCTTAATTGTAAATATCAGCCAATTAAATTCTCTTTTGGATAATTTAGATGATGGATTAAGTATCAACTTCCTTGCCTTCTTTCAATTAATTTTTGATGTTTACAGCCAATAAATCAGTTTAATTAGTTACAAATTCAGCCAATAAATGAGATACTTTGACTCTGGCTAATTTAAGTTTTTCACTTAACAATCTAACAATTTCTGTTTTTCCTGACTTAACTTTACCTAAAATGAATATAGTTGGTTTGATTTAAACATCAGTAGGAACTGTAGGCTTATAAAAGTATTTATAAGGTCTTTAACATACTTATTCTCTTTATTCCTCATTATCAAGATAGTAAATTCTATTTCTATATAAAACAGGATAATCTCTACAATGAGGAACATTTTATAAGGTAATAGCATTCCTATTTCCATATTTAGATTATTTATGAGTGTACAATTTTTCATAGATATCTAATTTATTTAATTTAAAGTTGGTTGGATCTGGATATAAATTTAATTTTTAACATTATTCTTTTTCTAACATATTTTCTCTATATTCTCTGTCCATAACATTTTCTAATTAAGATGTAATTCTTTCTGTGACATTTTCAATAGTTGTATCAGTACTGAGGACTACTGCATTGATTTTTAATTCTTCAAATTATCTTTACAATTCTTCAATTTTAGCCATGTCTGCTTCGTGTTATTATAATAATTTGTCTTTCTATTCTTTTAACATTTCATCTAACTTAGGTGCTTCTGGATCTTCTTCTTCACCCTGAGGGGCTTCCAAAGATGGCAACTCTTCAGCTCCTTCTTCAATAGCCTTGTTTCTGGCCTCCACTCTTTCTTAATACCTTTTCTACCTCAACTCTTCCATTTTCATCTAGTATTCATCCTCAATAACCTTGGAATTGAAATTTCGTTTAATGAAGTTTTCTGGTTCTATTTTTAATAAGATAACATATTCAGGTAATTTTTTAGCTTCAACCAATAAATCAACAATTGGAGTTGAAACAATCTCTTCTGAAACATCAAAGAAATTAGCATTAATAATAACACCTGCGCAATCTAAGATTTTATTTAATACTTCGATTTCATGAGTTTTACGATCGAAATCAGCAGGATCTTCAGTGATTTCAGCATCTGGAATTTCTTTTCCATCAGCATCTAATTCCTTTGGTTTAAATCCTTTCAAGTAATATCTATTTAATTATCTATTCTTTTTATTAATTTCTAAATTTTAAATTAAATTAGCTTTCAAATCTAAAACTGGTAACTTATATAATCTATTCAATATTTTCAATTGAGTACGCAATCCACTTCCTCTTACACCAATAAACATAATTCTTGGTTGTGGTATAGTAATTTATGATGGAACATACAATTAGACATTATCTTTGAATATTTATTATTCTTTCTCTCCATAAAATCTATACACTCTCCCTCTAACTAAAGCAATAAATTCTTCCTTTCCTGGTACTAACCAATTCGTTTTCTTTAATGTAACAGGGCAATAATTTGCATAATCACCATAAGGAATAGGTTCTTCCCCCTCTTACACGTCTGCTGGTGCTCTTACTAAGCCTTCATCATCAGCTCTAATATAAAATGGATCCAAAGCTAAACGTACTCTCGACCAGACTTCCTCTTTTGTTCCATCAATAGGAATTTCTTTTACATTCTCTTCTTAATAGGCTTCTTTTAACAAAGCAGACAAGGCATTGACTTAAGTTAATTCTTATTCAATTAAAAGGTCAGGATTTCGTTATAATAATAGTTATCCTGCTTCTTCTGATCTATCTTAAAGCATTAGAATCTTATCTATTTTAATTCCCCATAGATTCAATTAGTCGATTTATTCTTATGTTTATGGATATCCGATGATAACAATCCCTTTTGGTTTTGATGTTTCAGGGACTTTTAATTCATTATCCAATAATGGTATGATCTCTTTAGTTGGTACATCTTCAGGAGGTGGAGTCACTGGTTTAACATTCTCTTCCACAACTTCGACTACTTCTTCCTTCTTCTTCTTTGCTTATTACTTTTTAGCTTCCTTCTTTTTCTTCTCCTCATCCTCTTCAGGTGGTTGTTCTTCCTCTTCCTTCTTTGGTTCTCCCCATCCTGGAGGTTTTCTTTGTAATGGTATATTTAAATAATTTAACACCATTGGTAATACATCTTTAATAGCATTTCCTTTATAGAATTCCTTCCATTCAGCTTCTGTTAAATGAATATCATTAACTCTTGGATCGAATGTAGATGCTAAATGTTTGGTTCTTTCTTGTTAGGCCTAAACCTTCTTTCTCACAATATCTTCTACATCTACTAATGTCCATCCATAATACTCAGCTAATTAACTGGCAACTGTATTCTTGCCTGAACACTTTGGACCTTATACTGATACAATGTATGTTTTAGGTAATTATGGAGGTTTACATAGATATTTTCTAGGATAATTGATAAATCTATTTTAATTTTCTTCATTATCAAACAAAAACACTCTGCCAGCATATTCACAAGCGAATTCTGCCTTACCTGGAATAATCTTGTCTTTTAACACTAATTCTACTGCATCAACCTATTACCATTATGACCACATTCTGTAAACCTTTTCATCAGTTAAATTCAATCCTAACAAATCCTTTTCAGAACCACCCTCTAGTTTAACAGCGAGAGGTCTTAAGGGTTACCCTTTTAGGATTTAAGCAGATACTCGATCAACTAATTATTAAGTTGTCAAACCAGCAGATTGGAGTGTAATAATATTTTGATCTGGTAAATGATCGTATAATGATAATAATTTCTATTATGATTTTTAAAATCTTTGAAGTGATTCTACCAAGAATTCTTAATCTAAAGGTCTATAAAATAGATCCTTTTCAGGTATAATAGGTGGTTTTTCTTCATCATCTGGATTGTCTCCTTAATCCTCTTCTTCATCTGGGTCATTTGGATCTTTGTATTTTATTTTAGGCCTCTTCTATTCCTCTCTGTCAAATTAAGAAGTTGCAACTAAGTCATCTTGTTTTTCCATTATTCTGGCTGCAAAATGCAACACATCTTCATCTGATTATTCTAAATTAACGACATGTGTGAAATATCTACACCCTATTTTTGGTAGTATTATTTTGTTTGATAGTATTGAATTCACCCAAAATTGATTCTCCAAAGGTAGATCTAATATATAACCTTTATTTTTAGGTAAATCCTATTGTAGTTCAACATTAAACAACTATTCCAATTATTCTGAGGTCAATTCCCTTCCAAATTTCAATGAATCAATCACTTCTCTCTCCAAAGGATTCAAAAATTCTTTAGGATTCCCTTCTTCATCCATTTATGGATTATTTTCATTTTCTGCTACTTTAGCATAGATCCTTTGAATGCCCTTTTCCAAATCTAAGTATTCTAAATCAAGTTATTTAGCCAATGCCTTAGCAAATGTACTCCTACCACTTCTAGGTTTTCCAATCAAGAATATTTAAGGAGGTGCTTGATTTGCATATTCAATTACATCATCTTCGTAAGGATTCTTACTATCAATTGGTAATTATCCTTTCGGTGATATGAATTTACTCAAATATGATTGAAATGATGGTAATTAAATATTTGATTATTATTCCTAGATAATTTCCAAAGCAGACTCTAATTATAATTAATTTTTTGGTTAATTTAGATCACCCAAGAAAGTTCTTAGGATTGATGGAACATTCTTTGGTTATCTTTTATCAGGATTGGATGATTTTGTGATATCAAAGGTTTATAATTAGGAAGTTAACAATTATCTTTTTGCTGAAACTATCTTTCTTTCCCATTTCTTGTTTACTTTACTTTTTTAATCAATTCTATAATCTTCTTCTGTAAAGAATTCACTCTTGATGTTTATTGTTAATTTTTCTTCCTCGTAATTGCTTAATGGATACTAGGACCACTACACATCTCTGGTTATTTATTTACATAATTTATAATATTGTGAATGTAATCCATAAGAATCATCATTCTATTCTATAATAAATTACAATCCAATCTCTGGAACTAATTGACTATTAGGTAATGTTAATAAGAATGTTTCAGTTACATTCCCAACCAATTTAATTTCCTTAGCAAAGGGATATTAAGCTGATGTAAAATGTCTATATTCGGTTTGTTGACAACTATTATTTATCAAAGCATATATAATGCATTCACAACTCATTCCAATAGGAATAATTTCATTGAGTGGTGCCAACTTATATTTGATTATTCTACTAGGAATCACATTAGCACTCTGCAATTATTCTTCATTATAGATGTACTATTCAGTATAATAGATAGGGAAGTAAGACTTTTTGGAATCACTTTTCAAACTCTATTCAACTTTATCTGTATTATGTATTTTTACAAGTATATGATAATCAATGTCTTTCTTTGTGTTATCTATTGATCATTATATCACAATACCTTTCACATCTATCAACTATCGACGAAATATACGAGCATGAATCGTTTTCAAAAGGTAAATTACAGAACTCAAATCTGGCTGAATAATCAGTTAAAACAACAATTAAGTTAATGCATCTACAAACACCTGATAACTCAAGTATTCTGGCAAATTGGGATCCACATCTGTCATCGATTCTAAATACTATTATGATAACTGTTTCAGACTTTCATCTGGCAAACATATTACACACTTCATTATTGCTGTAATAACCTATAATAGCAATATATATTCACTTCTAACAACTCAGTTGTCAAGACTTTTCCTTATGGATTCTTTCCAATCTGGTCCCAAAACTTCAACACATTCTTCTAGTATTCCAAATTCTAGGATAAACTCACTATAAACTTCACACTCAGATTATCTCCTCTCTATAATCGATCTGTATTGTATAATTAAACACTTACTTTTGTAAAAGAGTGGATTTTACATATTTGTTTTTATTAATTTAATATCTATATGGGAGGAGGATAGTCAAAGGCTTAAAAATTATAATCCTAACGAAGAGCCAACAAACCCCAATTGCCATAACATTAGACCCCAGAATAACATTATCAATTCCTTATTAGCGAACCTATAAGCAGATACCTTTGGAATACTCAATTTGATTATGAAACCCTCATCTCAGAAATCCTATTCAGTATTAGTATCAAAAGATATATGGATTATTTACAATACTTTAAACCTCACATTAGATACATAAAAAAAGCTGAAAAATTATACAATGATGTCACATAATGTTGCTTATACGAAGCAAAATTCAATGACTAAGATAAAAAGTTCATGACCGGTGTCCTCATTCTCTTCTTTAGCCTATACCATATATCTAAATTCTAAGTAATTTTTAGTTCATCAGAGAAAAAGTGGTGGGAAGGTACTTATTTTGAATCACTTCAAAAACATGTTGAGTTACCCCCCAAAGACAATGAAACCTATATTTAAACATTTGCTTTCTTTATGTCTGATTATTTCTAAAACAGATTTCAAGAGTTAAAACCATAAAATGATAATAAAAAAGTTGATCTTGTATCTGTAAGAGTATTAGCTGATTATTATTTGTAATTCTTATACAGTGATTGTTTATCTTACCTTACAGATGCTGATTAATTTGTTAAAGAATATGCTCAATCAAAGTAAGAAAATTATCAAACCTAAGGAAGATTCAAATTAGAAAGTAATATCAAAATCATTACTAAATAATAAAAATAATAACAATAATTATTGTACTAATAATAGCTTCACAATTCAAAAACTCCCTCATAGTAGATTGAAGATATGGAAAGGCAATTTAAATTCTTATCTGATCATTCTATGATAGAAAATGCGTTGATCGAAGAGTAAAATAAAGAGTAAATACAATAAGTACAAGAAACCCCAAAATAAGAATGAATAATAATATCAATATTCTTACTAAATTTCAGCATTATTAGTTAATATACAAATTAAAATTTTATATAGAAAATATAGCTTTTTATTTCTTATTGTTTAGGCAATTCACATAAAATAGTAATAATAATTAATCTATAATAATTCAATCAAAAGTATCATGTCTAAAAGAATATTGTAAAAGCATAGCAATTAAATTTTCAATCGATTTAAATCCAATTTAATACTATCTTAAACAAATGAAATAGACAATAAGCAATATCAAATATTTCTTATTGTTCACAATTTAATGAGAATCACGTAAATATATATAATCAACGTAAAATTGCCATTCTTTTTGCTCCATTATTGTTAATTTTAACAAATCTTCCAAAATTTAATAAGTTTGCCAAGGATTTCCGTCAGATATTTCATTAAATGAAAATATTTAGCTCAGTGTTTTCAAATTATAGCTTTGTAAATCCTTATGAAGTTAACAATTAATGCTAAAAAATCATTTTATCACTCTCATATTTTAATTGATAAACATGTTTACATTTATTTTATTTTGTTCTGAATTGATAGAATCTTTATTGAAATATTATAAATTGATAAACATTTACATTTTCAATATAAAAATATAAATTTAAATTAATTTACTATAGTTATTATAGAATAAATATTCACAAGCAGGCATTTGTGATATTAAGAAGAGAACTAATTTATTATTCAAAGATTGATTGACTAAAATTTGAGAGAAGTTACCTTTAATGAATTATACAAGGATTTTTCATAACACTATTCAAAAGAAATTGATTAGTATGAAAATCTGATTGTTTACCACTTTAAATTTTCATTTATATAACTACCATAATTTATCATTATATTTTGAATTTCATGTTAGCTATCAAATCTCCCTCTGCTTTTGAAAATTAGAAAATAGCTTCTTCCATCAGAAATATCAAATATTATCAACAAATAAGTTCCATTAAAATATAATTATATCGTAGTGCTTTTGGAGAATGAACTATTATTTGAATAAAGCAAATTATATTTGCATTCAGAAATAAAGAATTTTATTAATTTGCTGTTATTTAAAATTCATAATATACACCATATAATATTTTTTATTATTTTAACTCATCTATCAATTCTAATAATTTAGCTCTATTTAAAAATACAATTTAGATAAAACAATTTTCTAAAATTCAATATCATTAAATGCCTAAATTGATTAGGATCAATTCTTTTATTTTGAAATTAATTCTCTATGAAACATCATACTTAAATAAACGAAGAATGTATATAATTATTGGATTGGCTAGGATTATAAGAAATTCACCTCATCTCTTTGAAAAAGGAATGTAAGTTAATTAACAATTAATATTTAATTTATCCTAAAAAGTTTCATTTTTTTAATAGTAACCTTTAATAATTTAAGGTATATTAATATATACTCTTATGTGGCACATTTTATTTATTTTGAGATTTTTTTTAAAAAACTTAGGCTACTAAAACTGATTAAGAATCCAATATTCTGGATGAAACCAATATGTAATATCCTAATTGATTCATAGTTGCTGCCTCTATTTGAATGATATAAAAATTGTTTAAATTTAAAAAATAACTTCAGGTAAAAAAAAACGATAAAACCCCACCTTGGGATTTAGAAGCGTTTCTATGGTTTTAAGTTTTTTATATATTTATTCATTCAACTTTAGATTTGTAAATTTCTATCCTTTACTCATTTTAATTTATGTTCCCAATATCAGAATTATTTAATTTATTATAATATTTTGATGTTTTATGTAAAAATAAACTTCAATAATTACTTTAATACTTAATATTGCATATTTGAATGATTAAATATGATTTTCTTGTAAAACATTTCATTTTTTAATTATTTAAATAATTAATCATGGCGAATTTTCATTATTGTTATGCTTCTATCCTATTTATTTAAATCTGGTGCTTTGAAGTGTCGAAGTTGAATCCTTATTACTAGTTAGAATAATAAGCGTTTGAATTTAATGATGCAAATTTTACTCAAAATGAATGCTTTACTTATGGAATCTGGTCAAAATATAATCCTTTAAGTATTACTTCTTAAGTTGGATCCTTGGGTTTACTTGATAGCAACTGTTTCCATTTGCACAATATAATGGGCTAATCTTCGCAAAGTTTGAATCTTATTTACTATGACTGTTTAGATGAGAACACTCAAAGTATTAAAAAGATACTTGAATTTATAAATGAGGATGAAGAGGTATTTAAATTTGAAATTAGCATTGATGTTTTAGAATATGAAAATATTTGGTACTTTTTATAAATTGTTGAATGGCCAGGTTTATTTAAATTGGAATTTGTAATATTTCAAGAGATTACCATGAAAATGCATGAGATAAAGCAAATGTAACGACCATTCAAAGATAAGAATATTGTGCTAAGATTTGGAGGAGATTTAATTGTAACTAATTCGAACATACCAAATTTATATACAAATACAAAATTTGCATACTTTCCAGGATTTATAATGATATAAAAATTATCAACTTAATCATTAGAATTAGATGTTGATTTTGATTCATTCGTTCAAAGCACATATAGCGATTATGGATATTGTGAATGTGAATTGAATGAAGAGGTTAATTTACCCGATGTCTCATTAGATTGGTTGGATAAATAAATTTATATATCAAAAAATACAAATTGTGAATCCTTCATTTTATCTGGGTGGCTTAAAATTAAAGAGATTATATCATCAACAGGGGATTTTACTTATTAATTTATAATTTTATCAGCTAACTTTTAGAATTAATTTTCTAATAAGAACTTATCTCCTTTTCAAATGAGCTATTAAATATCTACTGGAGGTAACAAAATTGAATTTACAACATATTCTTATACCTTTCCTGTTATTACTATTGATTTTATTGATGATCCCTTTTTAATAAAGAAAGAGTTCATTATAACAAACTCTATTTTAATATGGCATAATATATTTGTTAATTTATAAGACGATTTACTTACTGTTATAATTAAGTTTTATGAAGGAGATACTACTTATGAGTACATTGATTAAGTTAATGTTCACTAATTTCATTGTGTTCAACCTAAATTGCAATATGGGAATCTTCAATAATCTATTGGGAGTTATATAATTGCAGACGTGAAAAATTTAGTATTTATGAATTGTAATGAATCATTTGAATAATAAAACTGTCACTTTAGTTGTTAAGACTGCGATGGACCTACTATGAACGATTGTTTATCCTGTTCAATCGAATCATAAAGAATTTATATACAAGAACACAGGGTTTGTGTATGCCCATATAATTCAATCGATGAATATACTTGCTAAACTTATGTTAATTCAGAACTACAATTGATTCAAGGAGAATAAAATTTAAATAGTTGTTAATATGGTTATTTTGAATATTTGGAAGATTGTTTTAAATGGTATTTGTTTATTATTGATTTAGTCCATCTATAATTAAAGAAAACTTAATAAATTGTTTGGAATGTTTAAATAATCCAAAGGAATGGTATAAAAAGCCATTCTGCATATTTGATCTGTATTTTGATGATGAAGGAGGTACTCAATAATAAATTTATTCGTCTACTACTTATTTTTTTCTTGACGGTGTAGAAGTTACACTATGCTTATTTTGTGAAGGAACTAATTTTACTGATGTAGAGGATTAGTATTTGGATTATTAGTATTAAAATCTAAATTTTAAAACATTTTGCTAAGGTTCGAGTCTTGTTGATTTTCAATGTTATAAATGTTAACTTCCAGGTTGCTTCATTTGCAATTTATCAATTTAAGGCCAATAATGCCTTAAATGTGTGTATAATAGATAATTGATTAATGGGTAATGTATCTACATATATGACATTGATCCTACATACACCTGTAGATCTCCTTGGTATGTAACATCCAAGAAGAAATGTACTTTATGTCCAATAAGTAAATGTAAGTATTGCTTTGAATACTAAACTAATAATCTGTATAAAAGTACATTGTATCAAAATTTTGAAAGTTTTATCGAAGGAGAAAGTTTTGAAGTAGGGTGTGCTCTTTGTGAGGACAACTATATATTTAATTTTATTACTAAAAAATGTATTTATTAAAAACCAAAACTTTCAAATTGTTTAAGAGCATATATTAATCAGGATGATCAGGAAGTTTGCACTTTATCTGAAATTGATGATTTTACTGTTGCTCCTGAAATTGTAAACTGTCAAAAATATATACCTAATTGTTTATAATGTTTGTTGTCTCCTGAATCAACTTTAAAATGCATAATTTGCTCAGAAGGGTACACAACTTCGATCACAAATGGAGATTGCTATAAAAATGATCTAACGAATACAATAATAGTAATTGAGGGGGATATCTCATTAAAGAATGGTTGGATTTAAAGAATTTAAAGTTTTATGATGCAATTCTTACCAAACAAATATTTTTATCCCAAATCAGGTGCAGAATCATATATTAAGGGGGTAATTGTGGAATGTCAGTAAGGTTATAAAGAAGGCGGGAACTCTATATGTGAAAAATTTTGTGATTCCTCGTGTCTATCCTGTTTAACAAATGCGGATGGGTTTTATTGTGCAAAATGTCCTTTGAACTATTATTAACAGCCTATAAGAGATTAATAACAAGGAGAGTGTTCTGAGTGTCCTCAACTATGCAAAATATGTTAAAGTAGAACTACAGAAGAGATTTATGTAATTTATAATTATTATTATTATAGTAAGCATAACCTAGCTATGTCTTAGACGATTCAAATTACATTTATACTAAGAAATGTTTAAGACCTATTAAAGACTCAAATATCATTTATGATTCTTATTTGCAAAGTGCCAGGTATTGCTTAGAATCAAATTGTCTAAATTAGCTTTCTTATGAATTAAAATTTACATATTGTGGAGGCGTTGTTGTATTTTGGCCATTTGGCTATGATTATGGCATTAATATTAATTATTGTAATTAAATGGGTATAGATAGGATTACTATTATTTTTAAATACGAAATTTAGGGCTCATTTTGTGGAATAAGATATAGTCTTTCTCCCTCTACCTTATTAAAGTCAAAGATATTCTCTCTACGCTTTATCAATTTTTAAATGATATCTGTTGATACGTTATTAATAAGACCTTTATATTCAATAAGAATTAGCAATTTTGATTAGATTGAGATAAACCATTTATCCTTCCAATTTACTCAATCAAGTGCATTCATTATCTAAAATAATAATACCAGAGTGGATTTAAATCTGATTGATTTTGCATTTGAATATTGTAATTTTACCAATATGCTTTCTTAATTTTAAAATTAAATTTTTGGAGATATTATAGCTAAGAATTTTTCCATATTAGATTCTACTCTAATTAATACTTCAATCTTTAATTTAGAAGCATTTAAATAAAATGGAATAATAACAATCAAAACTTTTTTGATTTAAAGGTGCATTTTGTAAGATTCAACCATATTTTAGTTTGGAAACGACAATTTTAATATATTCATCTCAGATTTAATTATAGATTAATGCGATTTTTAGAATTCATCCATATTTTAATTCTATGATTAACTTAGAGATCTGACATCTCTCACTATATATAATTTGAAAATTCAAAATAGTACATTTAATCAATCAAATTTAATCAAGAATGCCAATTTAGTTTAAATAAGTATAACAAATCTAAATTTGATAACTAATCATCTATTTTCATCAAATTTAATCTCATTTAATTATCATTTAACCTTACAAACTTCCTATATTTATTAAAATTATTTTATAGAGTCTCAACTATTAAAATAGCTCTAAATAGCATATTCATATAAAGTAAACGTCAAAATTGATTCTCTAACTTTGAAAGAAAATTAATTTAAGAAATATGGCTTATTATTCTTATACTCAAGTTAATTAAGTAATGTTTATTTGGATTTATCATTCATCCGTTTAGAAGAGAATTCAAAGTAAAGTACAATTGATGATTAAAATGCTCTTTTTATAATTTAATGCTATTAATTGAATATCTAGGATGCAGCAATACTTAATGTTAATGATATGACCATATTAAAAATATATGAAAGCTTTTAAATTGTAATTGAAAATGTTGTGTACCAAAATAGCAAATAAGCATTCAAAGTGCCATTGTCACCTGATTGCTAAGGCTAAATGAAATGGAAAAATTAACTTATTGGAATAATTGGATTCTTTTCTATAAGGATTAGAAATGTTTCAGTTACTAAATAGTTTAATATTGATTTTTCTATAATTGATATTAGTTCTAGTCGTGGATATTCAGAGGTTTTATTAGGTATAATTTCTATTGAAAAATTACGATTTAAAGAGAATGTGCAGATTTCAAATTATTAATATAATTTGATGTCATTGTTAACAATTCATGCTGAGAATGAACTAACAATCGTATTGAACAATATTAGCTTTATTGAAAATATTGTACATACTCAGGTTAATAGTAACTCGCAATAAGCAGCTAGTTTAATGTTTATAACTTCATTAGCCAGTACATTAGCAATTAAAAATACCAACAGTGTTAGTAATGCATTTACCAATTCTACAAATACTTTTATTAATATTATCTGCAACAAACTAACAATAACCAATTTCACAACAACTAATTCGAATGTTTTAACTTAGGAGTAATGGTCTCAATATTATGATATTTAATTAGAAGAAAAACTTAATTAAGAAAATATGAATAACTTAATTATATAAATTCTTAATATTTAAAATATTGGAGGAGCATGCTCAATAACATCATCAGAATTCTTTTGCTTTGATTGCAGCTTCACTAATATTTTAGCATAAAAGAGTAGTGTATTTTTAATTAACACCATCAATAAAGGACATATTGTACTCGATTAACTAAAAGTAATTTCAGTTGAACATAAGATTTAATTTATTACTAACAGCTCAGGATGCATAAGTATAAACTCTTAAAATAGTTTATTAAATCTTGAAATAACAAATGCGATATTTTCGAATGTTTTGAATAGAATGGCTTCATCAATTTTTACAGTAATTCCCTCATAAATTCAGAATAAAATTTCCTTTTACAACTCTTAGGTACTGAATTGTTTCTCTTTAATAAATTAAGTTTTCTATCTATAATTTTCACCTCAAAATATCATTAATAACTTTATTATACTCTAAAATTTAACAATTATTTAAACTGAAGATAAATGGAAGTAGTACTTTTCCAATATATACTAAATAAGTGATACTGAAATGATAGAAATAGCCGGGTAATCAAATGCAGTAATCTACATTGAAAATGCTTAAATTTTTATAAAGGAAATCAGCATTTCAGGTATATACTTATCGACACTTATGAAGTTTAATAATGTTAACTAATTCGTCTTGCTTAATTTTGAGCTCTAAGATATATAATTATTTTATCCTTGTAATGTTATTGTAATTGATTAAAATGTCGATATAAAAATGATTATATCCTTTTAATAAGTTTAAATGAGAAGAATTAGGCTTTTTAATACTAATTAATCTCTGCAATAATCACAATTTCATCATTATTAAATCAAAAATTGCAAACTCTTTTAGGAACTGTCAGATAGAAGTCCAACGTCAATAGATATCTAATCTATTTACAATACATTATTCAAATTATCTTAAAAATCTTTGTCTATAATTTAAATCGCAAGTATTTTCTTCGATAACTAAATCATATTCAATAACATTAAACTACAGGATAATGAATGTTCTTTTTGTACAGAGGGGCTGATTTACTTTGAAATAGAAGACATAAAATATTTAAAGATATCATCAATTTCATGCATCTCAAATTCAATATTATCCTATGGTTGTTTAGTATTTTATTAAAAGAATTAAATTAATTTTAATGCAAAAATAATGAATTCCATTTTTTATGGTAACAGAGGTAGTATCGGAGTCGGAATCACTACTTATAATTAATCACTAATAATAGAATCTTGCAAAATATTGAGAAATATAGCCAGTTCATATGGAGGAGGTGTATATTTAGTTGTTAATAACAATAGTGTTATATTTAATTAATCGATAATAATAAATAATTAGGCTTAAGATGGAGGAGGTATTTATTTCAATGGAGAATATAATTTGGATCACACTAATTTCATTAACACTTAATTGTTAGATAATAATGCTCAAGTTTTTGCAAATAATTTGATAGAAAGCCCAACACATTTAGCCTTAATCATTAATTAAAAAGAGTTACGCTCTATCAATCTTGAAAGTAATGGTTCTTCAAATTAATTATTAATAATTGATCCATATTTGATTATCGAACAAGAAAAGTCATACTATACGAAGTACCTCATGCTTCCAAATGGCTAGGAGATTAAAAATTATGAAATAGTATTGCCTAAAAATTCCAATCCTTTGTAATATATTTATGAGATTGTACTAACTTTTAAAAATAGTAGGAATGAATTGCTTTTTAATTTAATTAACTCGACTTGCAGCCTCAATAGTTTTATATAATATAAGAATGGATCAATTTAGGAGATCAGACAAATAGCAAGTATAGATTATAACTCTAAGAGGAACTATTTTGATTTGGGTTTGATTTCAGTTGTATTTGATCCTTATGATTAAAATAATAAATATTTGCAGATTGAAGCAACTTGCAAAATGGCTTAATCAAATAAAACTCTAAACTACAGCATGAATATCAAAAGTTTTAAGTGTTAGTTGGGTGAATTTTATACCTAATAGGGATGCTAAAAATGCATAGCTAGTTAAGGATTCTATTCAGTAACATACGATGCCATAAAGTGTTCGATATTTGATAAATCAAAATTCTAAGAAATAACCTAGAATAAAATGAATTTACTTTAAGGGTTTTGGAGACCTGATTATTTATCTGATTATACAAGCTATTGTTTTAAGAATAAAGATTTTTGTATTGGAGGATGGAGTTATGGAAATAATTTATGTCAGATTGGGCACATAGGAGCATTATGTGAAGAGTGTGATATTTAAAATATATTGGGAGGAGGAAAATATTTTAAAAATTAACATAATCTAGAGTGTTAGATCTGCTAAGAATAAGCCAACAACATTGCATCGTTTATATTCACATTAATATGGTATTATTATATTTTTATTTAAGGGCTATTTGTTCGATAATGCTGACTTTAAAAAGTATAGAAAAATCTAATCTAATGTTCTCACAGTTAAAGTCCACCGAAAGATTCAATAAAATATTATTCAAATTAAACTAAGGTATTTATTAATTGAATTTAGATCATCAAAGTATTCTAATAAAAATGCTGTTAAATTACTTATGGATATTTTCCCTAATCTTTACTTTTAATTTATAATTTTCTATTTCATTGTTTTTCATTGATTCTGCTAGCAATACATCATATTTTATGGCTAATAATTTAGATTGTTATTTGGCAAATATCTAAAATATTGATCTAATTTATTCCAAAATATTTACTATGCTGATTTTTATTTTTATGCAATTTCTATTCGTTATCGCAGGATTTATGATCTATTAAAATCTAATTAATCAAAAATATAATTCTAGCATAATTTCAAACACTTTACTTAGCTTATACATATTTAACTATGCGGGTTTGATTAAGATGTAACAATATCATATATTTTAGGTTATGCTCTATAATCTCAAATCGATCTGTTTCAAATGTTAATTATATTCAAGGAGATGTCTCATTACTTTATGGTAATTAGACTCATTTGGCTTGGATGTTCTACTTTGTGATACCAATCTTAATTCTTTTTGGATGCCTAGCTCCATTTTCACTCTTTATGATTATGTATTCTAAAAGAAAATATCTTGATTAAATTAAACTAAGAAGGCATCTTTGTTATCTTTTTAATGAGTATAATGATAGCAGCTATTTTTGGGAGTAAATTAAGTTAGTTCAAAAATTTATTATGATACTTATTTCAACATACTTTGAAACCGAAATATCGATGAAAGCATCTGTATTTGGTATAAGTTTACTATGTTATTAATTATTAACTGTAAAATAGAAACCATATTTAACATCTCGTTTGAATAATTTAGATTTACAAACTGGACAAATTTGTTCATTGTCAATATTTCTGGCAACAATAAATTATATCAGTGAATAAAATAATAATGGAGTTGTATCAATCATTCTATAAACGGTGATACTATTTTTATGTGTCAAACTTTGTCACCCTTTTATTTGGAGCATAGCATAGATCAATTATAAAAAAAATAAAGTGCCATTGATGATCCTTTTATCAATTCTGTTCCAGAAACTACAATTCAAAAGATGTCTTGACTTTTTAAGTGATTGCATTACCAAAGAAAAGGATAGGGAATAAAGAATAAAAGCAAATTACCTGAAATTAAAAACTCATTTATTTTAAACATCAAAAGCTGTATTGACAAACCGAAAGTATTTATAATTATTATACTAAGAAATCTCCTAACTCAAGCCAATACATCATCTATCAATTATTGTAAGAAATTCAGAATCAGCGAGAACTTTGCAACAAATTAATTTTTTACCCTTGAAACTAATTGAAAATTAAAAGAATATTTGCTTTAATGATTTTGATTATATAAATTTATAATATTGTTTATTTTCACATTACATTTCTTCCTGATTAATTACACATTAGTTTAGAATCAAGAAATTCTGGGTTTCGTGATGCCTCCTCTATTTAAATACCATAATATGGAGTAATTCAAAATTAATCACCAACTTAAAATCATTATATTTTCTCCTTTTTATCAACTTGGAGAAGTTAAATAATTATCAATAAATTAAATATCAACTTGAATTTAACTAAAATACATAAATAAATATCATAGTGCTTGTAACTTAGATGGAGTCTCACAGAGTAAGATCAAGAGATATTCATCTGCACAAAAATTGAAGGTTTTCTGATTAAATACAAAAACTCTTACCTTTATAGCAAAGTCTTAATGGGAGACTATTTTTAATATTTCTAAGCAAAGCATAGTATTATAAATTTGAGATGAAATAAGGAGTAAAAACAGATAAAATACTTTTTTATTATTAAAGAGTAAAAGTCGAAAATAATATTTAAAGTATCGAAAGATTAGTAAATGAAAAAAAGAGAGAGATTGCTTGCGGCTTTAATGATATATAGCTTAACTGATGATTATAAAATTAAAAAAAAGTTAAAAGAACATATTTTTGTATATGAAATTTTTAGCAATGAATAATAATATTTCATCTGAAGTATCAGTCCTTTAAATCGAATTTGTGCAGGATTATAAGATGACACATGAATAAATAATTTTTGTAAATATTTCAATCGCAAGCCCTAAAGAAAGAGATTATATAGTTAATAGTATTAATGATATACATCTCCGAATATCAAATTTATATAACTGCGACACATCAAATGTAACAATCCAAAATTCGTTCTGGTTAATTAAATGGGAAAAAGAAGATTAGGATTTTATTAGATCGTAGATTGCCAGCAGTTTTATATCACATATTTTTGATTAACCTAATTATGCTTAAGTATAAAAGCAAATTAAAACAATTACTCTTAATCTAGATATCTAATAAATTGATTTGAACTTCCAATAAATTATGACAATTTATAATTGCTAATTTTATACGTGAATTTATTTTCACCATTTTATTTTGAATAATGTAATATTTCTTATATTGGATAATTTATGCTCGAAAAGCTAGTTTTTGAACCTTACTCCTGTATTAATTGCATAAGGTTTAATTATATAAATTTATCTTAGCGATTAAATTTAATTATAAATAATTATTAGTTTATGAAACATATGAATTTAAATAATAATCATTCATTTTAATGATGTAAATTTAAACTTAATACGATATATTTTCTATTATAAAACCTTGCCGTTGATTAAAGAAAAATCTTAATTAAAACATTATGAAGACTATCTTAATTGCATTTAATCTTTTGGCTCTAGCCTTATCTGCTACTACAATAACTATTTCATAAGTATATTAATGCTCATGCATAAATGCATTGGTTTAGTCAGATTGCCTAACAGATTTTTGTTTATGGGATTCAACTTCAGGAACTTGTTCAAATAAAGCATGTTCAGTATTTGACTAAGGAGAATGTGAAGGTGTTCCTGACCCATTTAATTGCGTCTGGAATTATTCTTCAAATAAATGTGAAAGCTTTACCTAATGTTCTGATTATACCTTCACTATTGGGAATTCAGGAGATTGCAATAACAAACTTATTAGATGTTAAGCTGATCTAGATTCAATTAACAGTAGTGCTGGAACAATAAAGTGCAAAGATAGAACTTAAGATGCTGTTTTAAGCATTGACAATTGTAACCTATTACCATATGATTCCTGTTATTGGTTTATGACTCCTGATTCCAAATAATGCTTATAAAATAAAACTGCAAAAACATGTGAAGCAAAAACCATTACAAAATGTTCAGATTATACTTAAGATAACTGTAATCTCCTAGCCTGCTATTGGAATAATAATGCATGTACTGAGCTATCATGTTCAATATTACCATAGGAATCTTGTAGCGTATATCTCTCATTTGATACAAAATCCCTTACATTTTGCTCTTGGAATGGAAGTGCTTGTGTTGATTTAAATATAGCAAGTTTGACCTAATCCTAATGTTTAAATTCAACCTATTTTACTTATCGTTGGAATCCTGATACTCAAAAGTGTGATCTCTGTGTAACCCCAGATGATGATTCTAACTCTCATTGGATTTTAAATGGATCAATCCTCTTGGCGATTGTATTATTAAATGGAATTTGATATATATCAAATAAAAATAAACACAAATAGCATCATTCCTTCTGGCCTTCTCATAACAAACTTAAGAATTCAAATAGACTTTTGTCCTTCTTTTTTCTTTATTTCTAAGAAAATGTAGATTTCATTAATATATTCATAATTCATTACTTTTGATCTTCCAATCAGAATTAGATTGTTGTTTAAAATTCTGATAAGTTTATCAGTATTCTTTTCACAATAGGATGCTAATTAGTCAATAAATTACTTTTTCTTTTAAATTAAACTTAAAATTCAAAATTTGATCTTACCTTTCGTTGACACTTACATAAGCAAACACTTATCGAAATCATTTCCTAATATAAGGAATAAACATAAATAATTATGACATTTTTAATTATTATAATTGATTAAAATCCTAAAGATATTAAATTTCTAATCTCATAATTCTTAAAAAACTTAATAAATTCTTAACTAGATTATTAAATTCTCAACTCTAAATCTATCTACTCTTAAACAAATTAAATCAGATTCTCAATGTAAGTTGGAATATAGTTTAAAAGCTCAATTCCTAAAAGTTTAGCGTAAAAATTAGTGACATCATAAATTATGCTTTAAAAAATTCATTAAGCATACATACATTTGTACACTCTTAACTAAAGTTTATAAAAATATGTTCGCACAAACTATTTTTAAGAGCAAAGTGACAAATACTAAATAGAGAAATAATTCATTGATAATAAAGTATATTTGTAGAGAAAATTACATAAGGAACAAAATAATTAATACATCAATAGATTCTTCAATTCCAATTCTTTGTACATTTCCTTCATTTCATCCTAAATGCTTGATTAATCTCATATATATAGTAGAGATGATCTAGTACAAGTAGATATAAATTCACGTCTTTATAAATGTATGAATAAATATACAATAAACAAATAAATAATTATTTTTTGCCTTCCGCATTAATAATATTCATATAAATCCAAATATAAATATTATTAAAATAAAGTAATTTAACAAGTTGAGAATTTATTATAAATCGTTTAAATTTTGTTATTTTATCTCTAATAGGAATTCAATCACAATTTTATTTATGGGCCCATCTATGTTAATTGAAGATAAATAAAAAAATAAATTTAGATTTGAATATTAATAAAAATTATCAAAGTCCATAGTATACATAAAATCAATTATGTCCCAAAAATTTTAGAAAATTTTAATTCATCAGGATCTTTTGAATTAAATGAGTATTTTTCTAATCCTGATTTTGATGTTATCTTTTATGAAAAATTTATATTATTATTCTTTTTACAATAATAATATTCAAAACTGGAAATTGATAATATTGGGTGAGTCCTTTTCAACTAGAGTTGCCCTATTGTAGTAAGAATGCTATAACAACTTTTCAAAACTTGTTTACAATTCTAGATCATAGCACTCAAAAGGATTTAAGGTTTTTATAGTGTCCTAATTCCAAAAACAAACAAAAAAATTGTAGTCTATTTCTGTGATTTTATTGTGGTTGTTTGTAAAACACAATATTATCATGATAATTTATTAAAAATTAATGAACGAAGGTTTCGAAATGTAGTTGTGGTATAGATGGAAAAATAGGAAGATTAGTAAATTCAATATAAATAAGAATTCCATTAATGAATTTTCGGAATTTACTTATACTTCACTTGCTTCTTCTTGTGGTAATTGATATATGCAAGCAAAGTAATAAATCTATGATGGGGATAATTAAATATTTCGTTTAATGGATTTTATCAATAGTATAATTAATTGTTTGTAATATCGAGATGAAAAACAATAAAATTTGTTAAGAATAATTCAATAGTGGAAATCTAAATAATTGAGATGGTTGCTATTAATACAAATTGGATTCCAATTGTTTTTACAAATCATTTTTTGATTTGAAATATAGAAAATGTCAATGAAAAAATATTAGGGAATTAAATTACTTAAATATTTGATAATAGGTAAAATGAAGAAGAGGATATACAATAAATTTAGTTTTTACGTTAAAAAGTATAATAAATTTTGTTTTGAGTTACTTATCTAATCAATTTGGTTTTGTAGAACTAGTTTGGATGATTAAAGGTCATATCATATCAAATCTTATAATCCAGGCTGGGTAACAGAAAGACAATTAGTTATTTATTTTCTTTGAAGAGAATAAAGTCACCCTTAGATGTAAAATTAATTTAGCAAATCTAATTATAATTATTTAGAATTAAGATAAGAAGATATCGTAAAATAAATGAGTACATACATAGATGAATGCTTGATAAATAATACCAAGCCATATATAATTAAACCCTATAATTGTTTAATAAAAGGTAATTTATATCTTAAGAATTTTAATACATTATTTAGTTAAATAAAAAGTATGATCGTAATTACTTCAAAATAATTACTAATGTTTTTAAAGCATGATAATATTTTAATGATTGATTTTAGACTCATCCTTCTCATAATTATTAATAGTTGTTATTAATTGATTATTCTGATATTTCTATAATCTTTTTTAAAAGCAAATGATGAGGTAAAATAAAAAATTCATGTGTTCGAACCAAAATTATTTTTTAAATCTTCTCCAATAGAAAGATTAACTTATAAGAAAACAATTTTTATCTTGGCATCGATATTTTGTATAGAGAATATTTGTGAATAAGAAATTGTTGTGAAATTATGTTATTTTTTAATAGAGATGACTAATAATAAAATCGTTAACTCAAACATGACCTATTAATAAAACACAAGTTATTAAGGTATTATTATTAATATAAATAAAAGACCAAACGACCTTTTAATATAAACGAAGAATTATATATCTGATCATAAAAAATAAAGTATCATTATGTGGTAGATTGGATTAATACTCATCTAAACAGTAATAGGATTCAAAGACTATTCATACTATTATAGTTCCATTTTTGGATGGAATTAATAGCCGATTTACATGCAAATATGCCTGACATGCACCCTCATTAATGTGTTTGTAATTAATAGTGTTAATCATAGCTTATGCCTCTATTTGTCAATGTGTTACAGAAATAGTAATAAAAACTTAATCAAATGGAACTTAATATGTCTGCCATCCAAGATTTTAACCATGGGGTTCAGGAGGGTTTCCTTATAAAGATATATATTCAGTTCATTGTGGATATGCATTAGGCATGTCATTAGTAATGGAGTTGTAATCAGATGGACATTATAAATATTTTTGTTAATGTAAGGATTGTTAATCTATGAATTAGACTTCTCAAGTTTTGAAGGATATAGACGGTGTTTGATATTGTCCTCTTAGTAGGGTTATTTAAAATGTTTGTTTTGTAAATTTCCTTACTCTGGATATTATTGCAATGACTTCAATTTTAATTATGATTAAAGATAGACAGATCCACCAAGAAGTAATTCAAATATGAGTATTATAGGGTGTTTTGGAAATTGTATTGAATGTTCAGAATAGGGAGAATGTTTAACCTGTAGATATGGTTATGCAAAAAGTAATTCATTAGATACTTAATGTAATTTATGTAATTAATAAATAAAAATTTATAGATTGTTAAGGGTTTCAAAGTTGCTATCGGGATGGAAATGGCAATATTGTTTATAGTTCTGATTGTTAATAAGGCTACATAAAAAGTTAAAATTATGATCCTCCTTATTGTGCAGGTTATTATATTAAAACGACTATTTAGGCAATTATTTACCTTGTTAATCACCATATTCTTGGAATAATTCAATTAGTTGTAATTCTTGTTAAGATGGATATTTTTTAAAATATAAATATCCGGATAATTGGAGTGATAGAGAGTGTTAGCAATATGATTGGAATTGTCACCCTTTCAGATAATAGACACAAAATAAAGTAGTCAATTCTGGTTACTTTCAATTTTATGTATTGAATTATATCATAAATAGACAATTTGCAATTAATGTGATCCAGGTTTCTATTTTAACGAAGGAACATTCTATTGCACTAGTAATAATTAATTTACAACTCTTTAGATGTTAGATTTTCGAAACCTAATAAAAATAATTGTATCCTATTAGATCCACAAGGAAATAATTGCATAGCCTGTTTGTTGCAGTATGCACTACAACCAGATGGAACATGCAAAGAGGTTGTTTGTGATTAAAAATGTTCTACTTGTTTGGATACCAATCCAAGTTATTGTACAACTTGTGATAGTTTGGAAAATAAAATAGCTGATAATGGTACCTGCATATGCTTACCAAACTCTGGTATGGCACAAGATAATTGCATAACTTGTACAGAGGGTTTTTGCAATTAATGTGACCAGCTGGACTTTTATTCATGTATTTCATGTAAATCGGGAAAAAACAGAATACTAGCCAATAAACTATATGATTGTATAACTGGTTATTATGATCCTGGAAATGATGATTAAATCTGTCTTGGTAAATTATTTGATTCATATTTTAGTTTGTGATTATACTTGTTTTAATTGTAACGGTCCAACATATTAAGATTGTACTGAATGTCCGGATGAAAACACAACGAACAGAATTAAAATTGAGAATGCTTGTCCGTGCAAAACTGGATATGCAGATTTGGCAATTAAAGAATCGAAATGCGGACGTATTAATTAAATTAAATCTTAGCATGCCATCCAAGATGTAAAACATGTTTTTAAGCAGCTGACTAAACTTCAAATTAATATTGTCTAAAATGTATACCTGGATAAAATCGTGTTGTTTCTGAGACTTTTAACTGCGAATGCTAAGTTAATTCTGGTGATCTAAATGGTACTCTCGATGTTTGCATAAGTATTTCATAAATTAAACATAGTTTGTCATTACACATGTGGAAGTTGTAATGGTACTAAAAATACAGATTGTGTATAATGTTCAGAAAGTTCTAATAGAGAATTGACAACTACAGGGGAATGCTTGTGTAAATTATCATATTATGATGATGAAACGGAAAATATAGAGTGTTAAAGTAAATTATTAGAATTTATCAATAGAATGCCATTATTCATGTATCACATGTGAAAACAGTACTGAAAAAGATGCATGCTCACTATGTCCTCCAACTAGAAAACCTAGTTATTCTGGGAGTAAATTTGAATGCATCTGTAGTTCTGAAAATTATTTTGATGATGGATTTTCATCACAATGTCAATAATGCGATTAAAATTGTTTAACATGTAATGGTCCTTTACCGTCAAATTGTCTAACATGTGATATACATTATAGATAAATGGATTTATCATCTTGCATATGTCCAACTAGGCATTATGATATTGGATTTTTAGAATGTGCAAGTAATTTAAGAATATATTTATAGAATGTCACTACTCTTGCCAATAATGTTTTGATAACACTTTTGATAGTTGTATTGTTTGTTCTCTTGAGCTTAATTTTAGAGTATTAAAAGGCAACATCTGTAAATGCATTGATGGATATTATGAAGAGAGCGGGATTGCTTAGTGTAAAAGTAATTATTTGAATATTAATAATTTATAGAATGTTCATACAGATGTGAAACGTGTGAAACATCAGCAGAAAAATGTTTAACTTGCCCTTTAAATTCTTTACGTATACTTGATCCTTCGAAAGGGTGTTATTGTCCAGGAGAATATTACGATAAGCAAGAAGAAATAGCTTGTTAAAGTAATCTTCCTAACTATCAAAGGATGCCATTTCAAATGCAAAACATGCGATGGAAAGGATTAGAATAACTGTCTAGCATGTGATTCAGTTGCTAATAGAGAATTTCATGAGAATGAATGCAAATGCAAACCACATTACTTCGAAATGGAAGTTTAGGAATGTACTTGTAATAATATTAATGTAAAATATAGCCTGCAGTGCATTCTGTTATGAATGTGATAGCAATTTTTAAAAATGTAATTCGTGCAATGATGATAGATATTTAATTAACAATACTTGCAAATGCATTACAAAATTAAATGGAGGATCAATAAGTACATTTGAATATAATGGGATGATTAAATGCTAAAGTATATGATCAAAATAATTTTTAGAATGTCATTATTCGTGTGGAACCTGTGGAGGAATTGAGGAAGGAGATTGCATTACTTGTATGGAATCTGAGCAAAGATTGTAAGTTGGAAATACTTGTGTCTGTAAAGATGGATATTTTGATGCAGGATTGGCTGAGTGTTAAAGTATTAATAAGATTTTTACACTAAGAATGCAGTTATAAATGTAAAGGATGCACAAAGCAATCTGAAAGTTGCACTTCTTGTGTGGATAATAGCTTCAGGGAATATATTTCTGGTTTCAAAAAATGTCAATGTATTCAAAGATTTTATGATGATGGGATCAACGAAATTTGCAAATGTAAGGCTGTTATTAATCATTTTAAGAATGCCATTATACTTGCCTTAGATGCAATGATATTGAAACTAAATGTGAATTGTGTTCAATTTTATCAAACAGAATTTATAATGATTAGTTTTTTTCTTGTGACTGCAACATTGGTTATTATGATACTGGAGTTGAAATTTGATAAAATTGTCATTACTCTTGTTTAACTTGTAGTTCTGGAGATGCTAATTCCTGTATCTCATGTGTAGATATGAATACTTCAAAGAGAGTATTTTATAATAATACATGTAAATGTTTATTTGGATATTTTGATGATGGAAAATCAACATAATGCTAAAAATGTGATGTTTAATGCTTAAGTTGTTTTGAACAATCTTATTCATGCTTATCATGTCCCATAACAAGAAAAATAGAAACAAACTGTAAATGCTAGGAAGGGTATTATGATATTGGCATATAACTTTGTTCTAAATGTAATTCTAATTGCCTTACATGCTAAATTACATCACAGAATTGCACATCTTGTAATTCTGACTAATTTAGAGAACTTAACTTAATATACTTTAGTTGTGATTGTTTGTAAGGTTATATTGAAGTTAATGGAATTTGTGAATAATGCTATTCAAGTTGTAAAACTTGTTCTTAATTTACAACTAATTGTACTTCTTGCATTTAATATCGACACTTGAACAATAATGATTGTATTTGTAATGATGGAAATGTTTGAATCAAATGTTGATAAATCATGTAAATTATGTGATAGGACTTGTTTGACTTGTGCTAATACTAATACTTAATGCTTAACCTGCTCAATTGAAAATTTTAGATAATTTAAGTCTGGAAACACTTGTGAATGTCAGCAAGGATATTTTGAAGATCCTGTTACTTTAAATTGTGAATAATGTTTAAGAACCTGTTTGACTTGCGCTTTATAATTTGATAATTGCACTAGTTGTGATACTAATTATAATTTAACTTTAGTTTATAATAAATGTGTCTGTGCAAAATCTTATTATTTTGATTCTTTGACTACTTAATGTGAATGTATTATTAATATCAATATTCATTTAGAATGTAATATTAAATGTCTAGAATGTTAAAATAGTAATGAATGTACATAATGTAGATTGACAACAAGACATTATAGTCCAGATTAAAAGAACTGTTTATGTAATGATGGGTATTATGAAACAAATTAATAAAATTGCTAATGTAATTAACTGTTAATTAATTTTAGAATGTGATTTATCTTGTGGTACTTGTTAAAATGTGAACACTTATTGTTTAACATGCTTAATAGAATTCAAAAGACTATTAGCAAATAACACTTGCTTGTGTTAGGATGGCTACTATGATGCTGGTATTGAAATGTGTTAGAAATGTATTAATGTTTGCAAGACCTGTTAATTTTCTGCTTCAACCTGTTTATCTTGTTATGATATTGAACATTACAGGTATTTTTCAGAAAAAAAGTGCTTATGTAAAGCTGGTTATTATGAGTCAAATACAGATAAATGTTCAAGTAATACACTTTAATGATATTTAGAATGCTCAATTGAATGTTTAACTTGTTCAGGATTAGCTGATTATTGTACTAGTTGTGATACTAATTCAAAAAGAATTGATCAATCTATTTTCCATAAATGCCCTTGCATTTTTGGATTTTATCAAGATCATAATTTAACTTGTTAAAGTAATTCTCTTGAATTTAACTAATAGAATGTCATATAAAGTGTTAGAGCTGTGTTAACTAAGCTGACTAATGTTTAAGCTGTAACTTCTAATAAAATTCAAATCGATTGACTTTATCTGATTTATGTAATTGTAAATAAGGCTATTATGATGATGCGACATAACTTTAATGCTAGCTCTGTAATTTCAGGTGTAAGACTTGTATAATTTAAGAGAATAATTGTTTAATTTGTTCAAATTTAATACGAACTAATCCACCAATATGTAATTGTATGGATGGGTATTATGAAGATGAGTAATTAATTTGTCAAAGTAAGTTAATTGTTAATAATAAGGTTGTGCTTCTCAATGTAGTACATGTGTTTTCTAACCCTAAAACTGCTTAAGTTGCAATCCTGGAAGAATTGGATAAGATTGCAAATGTATTAATGGGTATTTTGAAATCGGACAAATATTATGCTCATGTATTAAATTATTTAAAACTATATAGAATGTGAATTTTAATGTGCTACTTGTGAGTTAGATCCTTTAAATTGCAAGACTTGTAAAGGTAATAGAATTCAAGAACCTTAATGCATTTGTTAATTTGGTTATTTTGATGACCAAATTAATGAAGACTGCTAAAAATGTGATGTGACTTGTATAGAATGCAATATCAATGGGTGCTTATCTTGTTCTGCCAATAGAATTTTAAATGAAGATATGGATTGTCTACCTCCCCCAAATTCAATATCTTACAACAACACACCTTGGTGTTCAAGTAATTCTTCAATAATACATTTAGCATGTGAAGTTGCTGTAGTTAAAGCATACTTATCAGATGATCTTGCTAAGATTATAATTCATTTTGATTTTCCTTTAAATTCCAAGGGCTTTAGCTCATAAGTAGAAGTTAATAAATGTTTGTAACTATTTGAAGTAGAATTTGTACAAAGCTTGGGTTAAAATTCTGTTTGTTATCTTAACCCAGATGATAATTAAGAATTATTAATCTCACTAGGTGAAAACTCGAAAATATTGGTTGGTGACAAAATCTTATTTAAAAGTAGTACCTTATCTCAAATTAATTGCGAAATTTCTTTACAAATATTTATCTTAGATACATTATAAATGCCACTAAACCCTCTTCCTCCATAAATATAATATCATATACCTCTTCATAAGCTGAATCCTTTAGCAGATAATTCAGTGTATTTAAAGGCAATAAGAAATAATGGAAATAGAAAATTAGATAATATTGTTTGGGCTTGTCAAGTCAAAGCAACTGATGAAAGTTCTACTCTTAAACAATTTTTAGATTAACTTAACTTTGTTTAAGAATATAATTTATTAATACCTAAACTTACTTTACCAAAAGATGCAGAACTATCATTTAAAATCTACTATGAAAATTTCGTCCATATCGCTTCCAATTAAGAATTTATTATATATACTCATTCAGGAGCTCTTCCTTAAATTAATATTAATGCGAAACCCTCATATTTTGTTTATTAGACAATTTCAATTGGGGTTTTGCTGGCAATTCAGATTAATCAAATTCCAAAGATAATACTAAATATTTGATTTAAATTATTGAAATAGATAGAAATCCTCCCAAATCAATGTCCTCATACTTAAACACTTCAGTTTATTCTAATTGCTTTGAGATGATCTATTCAACAATTCCAAAATATAATTTAAGCCCAAATTCAACATATACATTTTTAGTGACTGCAACAAATATAATTACTAACCAAGTCCAATATGAAAATTTGACTATTGATATTCCATATTCTGGATTAATTTGTTAGTTTAGCAATCGAGGAATTTAAAGTATAAGGAAAGACCTGAATCTCTATGTTGATTGCAAAGATTTAGACACAATATTTGATTGGAACAGTGATCCAGATTTGTCAATTTAAGTAGCATGTAAGGATTTATAAATGAACAGCACATGTTTAATTGAACAAAAGCAAATCATTAATGTTAATTAGACTGCTCCATATTAATTCATCAGAAGGAATTCGATCTCTACTTTCACAGTTTAAGAATGGTCTGTAATAGTCACAAAATAGCAACAAACTTAGAAATTTTCCTTAATTATTGTTTATCTAGATGATGATTTTCCTATACTAGACCTAGAATTTAATAAAGGTTATTTGATGAGAAAAATTAACAATTATGAATAACTGAATTTTACATTTCTGATTCCTTTTGACTAAACGCCTTACATTTTAGATTTATCAATCGCAATTATTTATAACTATGAAATAATAGAAATACTGCAACCAAAATACGTTTCCCATTAATTCAAGATTTTTAATAGCATTAAGGAATTAAATCTCGGTGACGAGGTCAATATCAAATTTGCAGCCTAGTATACCAATAATATCATGCCAAGCTTAAATAATATTAAACTATAAGTAAACCAGCCTCCTTAATGTTCAAAATTATTGATTACTCGTTCTAATAACTTGGCATTAGCTGATATTATAGTAGTTAGTACTTGCGAAATTTCAAATGATTCCCCTTATAAATATTAGCTTAAGTTATTTTTGAGAGACTCAGACTTGACAGATTTTTTGCAAGGTGGATCTGATAACTCTTTAACTCTTTAAGCATTTTAAGCCTAAAATTAATTTTCAATTTAAACTCCTACCTCGATTGACTCTTCAAAAATTGGAATTTTAGTTTAAGTCCTTGATAATGGAGGATCTATGACTCAAATTTTTGAATAAATTACTGTGAAACCTGCAAAAATAAATTGTACCTCAATTTAATTTTAGAACTTGAATTTACAAGGCAAGGTATCTTTACTATTTGAAGCAATGAATTAAAAATGCATGGACCTACATCCTAGAATTTATAATAATTTGCTATAATAATCAATGTCAGAAGATTCAAATGATAATATTCTGAAATTTCAATCAATAAAATTATATAAGCAATCTTTAATCTAATCTATGTAAAGTGAACCTTTAGATAACTTAAAAATTGATAGGTGCTTTGATATCAACTCGACTCATATATTTATTATGTAAAATTCTACCTAGCCTGAAGTTGATTTAACAGTGAAAATATAAAATATAAAATAAAATACAAATAATTTAAACAAAACCCTAACATACTTTAGAAAACTAAAAAAACAATGTTAGGATGAGCTTTTACTAAATTAATATACTTGGAATGAATAAGTCTTTCAACAGTTTTAAAGTTCACAAGATTGCATAAGAACTTAATTATACTACCTAGATGACATTTATTCAAATTTTTCATCTATACATTAACAAAATGAACTACTTTATTAGGCTGTTCTTGATTTGACAAAATTCATTCCTTTAATTTCAGAGGAAACATAAAATAGAATTATAGTAAATTAAGAGCCCTTGATCGTTAATGGAAATGAAATTATATGGCAAATGAAAAGAAGAACAAAATCATCATTCAATTCATAATTTAATATTGAAGCAGCCTAAGAAGATTTTCTTGTAGATTATATATAATTTGAATCACTTTAATTTTAAACAAATCCGTTAAGATTCAGTTCAGAACTATAAGATTTACTCAAATCTTAATTTAATGACTCAACATTAAAAATATACTCATAGAATTACTATCTAACATAATTGAAAAATGTCTATCATAATAGATTTATATTATATGAAAATTTTTCAACTATTTATGGCACAAAATTTGGATCCTATCAAGTTTGCAATAATACTACATAATTTTTATCAGAATATGAGATTTAATGTGTAACGAGGACAGTATCTGGAAAATTGGATTATTGCCATTTAAATAAACTTTAATATAACAGTACTATAGAAATAATTTGTGAGTGTAATAAGTTTGGTGATATTTTCCTTTAAACCACTACGAATTTTAGTCTTCTAAATGAAAATATGGCTAATTAATCATAATCTGATTCTCAAATTATTTCCACATCAGAAAATTTTTTGACTATAGAAATTTGTATCAGCTCTTTATCATTTATATTTTTGTCTATTTACACTAGATAAATATATAAAGATAACTAAAACGAGTAAGGCAGGTCTAATACTGAATAATTGAATCTGAGCCCCAGAAACAACTTTCATTTCAATAAATTGACATATTAAGGTAATTTACAAGTATTCAAGGAGAGATTTAAAGTAACTTTATATTTCTATTTTAGTAAATTCATTAAACAATTTCGCTATTTAATTATAAAGACTAAAGTATTCAACTAAGTTATCGAATTTTAGAAGTACTCTCCTAATTTAATTTATTATTAACTTTAGCAATTGTTGAATTTGAGATGTTAGATAATTAAATACTTTACATCTGTTTATTCATCATTCTAAACCCTTTCATCATTTTATTAATGAAATTTATTTACAAGATAATAGAAACAATATATAGATTCAAAAGGATAGCCGCTTTCATTAGTCACTTTCTTCTTATTTTGTTTTTAATGATCCCTAATCTTATTACATATGTTCTTAGCATTATGAAGTATATATTATACTATTTTGAAGAAAAATATCACCTGAAGAATACAAAGTAGCATTAATCTTTACGGGCAACATACTAGTATCTCAAGTGCTTTTTGAACCAGTTATAGTTTTCGGAAGAATTTTCATTTATAGAATAATAGCTAAAAGTATAAAAAATATGGAACTCAATCCTGTGTTTCATTTAATGTACTTTCTAGCAATGCATAGCAGTTTAGAAGAAATATTCGAAGATTTCACAAGGATTTGATATATAATTAAACTTAAGATGTCAAAATATTTATAGTATTTCAAATTGAATAAGATTATAGGGTTAATTTATGCTTAGAATTAACGTCTTAATTTAAGTGATATTAATTAAATGATTTCTAATTGGTTTGTTGTAATATTTAATTTTTCACATTATTTATATTTACCAAAATGAAATTTTGAAGAATTTATTATATTTGTGAGAGAATAAAAGAGTTCAATTTTTGACTATAAGTTTCTTAATATTTCATTTAGAATCTATTTTTGGATGTATTTGAAGTTCGAATTTAACAATTTTATTAGAATAATTTCTTAACACTATTGGTATGACAATCTTTGTTATTTTTTTCAAGCAATATTATTTCTATTTCCAATTTTAATTAAAACACTTTTTTTTTTAATTTTTTTCTTTAGATTACTTTAGCTTGGAGAAATGAATAAAAATGAATTTTGAGTTCTCACCTTTATAGACCTGCCTAGGTGAGTTACCTTCTAGAAAAACTTTGAAATCTACGACTAAAGGAAAATAATACTGAATATAAAGGTATATTTGCAGATAAATAAAAAAGTTATAATTATTTCAAAATCATAAATATAATTTTTCATCTAAATAATAACTCATAAGATGTATATTTCTCTTTTTTCAATCTAAAAACACTAAATATTAAGCATCATTTGTCTTTGAGCTTAAGTGACTTCAATGCAACAATCTAGTGAACCTAATATCATAATCCAAGCATCATTAACTTTCCCGATTAAATAAATGCTATGTTTATGCCTTATCAATAGGATCTTTTTATCTTTATTGTGTATTATTGGGAAATTTAGAACAATATTCTCTCATTAATCATTTCATTTCTATTTAATTGAATAGTTTTATATTAAATTTTTTTTTGAAGATTCCACTCTACAGCTCAAAGATCAAAACCTAATCAATTTCCTTTCCACTTGTAATCCAATGAAATTTTTGATCATCCATAAAGAATACTTAGTACCTTAGGGAACCAATTTTTTATACAAATGAAATTAATGCCAACTAATAATCGTAAATTAATCTATATGTATTTTAAATCAATTATACATTAACACTACCGCTTTTCATCTACTTTCTCCAAAATTAAATAATTATGTTTTGAGCAGGATACTAATATAATCTCAGGTTCATTTAAGTTTAATGAGTATACCGCTGCAGTATTATCTAAAGAGTGGTAAGTTCATTCTACATTAAATCTACTTTCCAAATTTATTTAATGATCCCTCCTGATATTAATTAATCTACTTCTTTATTTAAAATTAAAAAAACACCCAATTAGTATACTAAAAATATGTTTATGACCATTGCCATTCATTAGGATTAATTTATTTCCAACAGATAATTGATTTCTCCCAAGAGCCAGAAATAAAGGAATTCATTTTTTGCTATACACCAAACAGTGAACATGATTAGAATATTAATGCACTCTAAATCGATTGGATTATTTCAGCTACCCTTTTGCAAATTCTAAATCAATCCTCAATTAACCTAAATTTACATCAGATTAACTGTAATTCAAAATTTCTCTCTCCTGCAATCCTTGATTTAAATTAATTTATTGTTTTTTACATTTATCTGAATTACAAATTCCAAATTAAATAGAAATTATTGGCACTTTTTTCCCAAATCAAAGATTGGATGTTAGCATAGTTAGAAATTATTTATTGATTCCAAGAGTAAATAATTCGTTTAATTTCGTAGTTTAAGCTTCGCTATCAAATTTACAAATTATACTTTAATTATATTATCTAGTTCTTCATATTTGCACCCATTCAGTTGTCTTCTAAATGAACTCATCTAATTACATATTGATTTTTGATTTTAATTGAATTATTGTTTCCTTGAGTTTTTCAATCTATTAGACATTTATCAAATGGCACTTTCCACATATTAAGCCTTCTTCTTTTGATTATCTTGAATTATTCCAAGAAGCCTTCCAAAAATTTATTGCATTATAGAGGCGAGAGTCTAAATTGTCGACGGATTTTTAACATAGCAGTTTTTATTCTTCCCGAAACTCCTATGGCAAACTACTAGTTATATAGGATGATAATGATTCATAGAAAAACAAAAATCTTCTGCTTTTTCTATAATTTTTGATTGTATCATTTTATAAAATGTAAATTATTAACTCATTATTATTCAATTATATTATAATTATAATAGTACAATATTTAAAAATTGCATTTTAAGGAATTGTTTTCAAAATTAAGCAACTAAAATGCTATTTGTTTAAAATGGAAATTAAAATTGAAATTTTGAAAAGATTTTTGGAACAATATATTATTTGATCCAAGCAATGGATTTTCACGAAAATCTTCTAATTTCTACTGCCTACCTCCTATCTTGAATTCATAATCGTAATTCTGTTATTTAAGTGGTAAATTCTCTTGTTCTCTTATTTTTAACTAAGATTTCAAGTATTTTAATATAAAATATCAACTCTTAAATTTTTTGAAGCAAACTGTTTCGTTCTTAGAAAAATTTCATTAAGATCGAAAAAATTAACCTCAAATTATCTTAAATTAATCCTAATACAATTTTCACATCTTAAACGAGTAAAAGTATTCACAATCCATTCGTTTTTCAAAACTGTGAAATCTTAATTTAATTTTTCCTTTTTCCCCATCTTAATTGTGTTTTTTATACAATTTTGTAAACAAATACTTATTCAAAACGAATTGAGGATTAATAAATTTATCTCAAATCAAAGCATAATCAAATAAAATACATGTTTTGAAAGTCAAGCCTATATATATTTTAAATAAGCATTTTATTGAACAAAAACTTGAATCGATGGGTGTGTCTTCGTATCTTATTACGTCTATACAACTATTAAAGCTTAAAGGATGTCTTTTTGTATCTTTGAGTGCAATAGCTGAGGCAAAGATATCAAATATGTGGAAGGATAAATATTTAGAATAAATGATGTTTTTATTTCCAATTTGAGGGGTTATGATATCCACCATAACTTTTAATATCTATATTAAATTTATATTTTAAAGTTTATCTTAATGTAAATTAATTTACCTTTGTTGTATATTGTTAAATTTGGATTGGGGAACAAAAGGGGAACCTTGGATATATAATCAATATTAAATATATTTATTTAGAGGTTATGTTTCAAAATGTATGAAGAAACTTCTATATTTTACAATGCCTAACAAAGAACAAAATATCATCAGCAAATTGGTAGCCTTCATATTCAAATGGAATAGACTATTTTTGAAAACTTAAGAATTTTCCATATTAATATTTTATGAAGCTGACGAAAGCGAAGAGCCCTAGGGCACTACAATAGCAAGGTGATATTTTGTATTTGTGTTAGTGGTCATACATACTTGTGTGATTTTGATTCATAATTTCGAAAAAATTTATTTTTATTGATCTAGGATTTTTTTTGTCTTAAATTGCAAAAACCTCTTCCCTAACTATACTGCTGAATGAATCACTAAAGTCAATAAATGCGTAATGCATTCTATCTCCTGAATTAAATTATTTATCTTATTAGTAAATTAATGATGTTAATTTGAACCATGATTTATTAGCGGTATCTGGATAAATTTTGTTTAATGAAATAATTCTAAGTTTCACAACAACTTAAGTGGGTTTTAATTATCTTATTGGTCCAAATATTTTTCAAAATATGGATATTTTTAGAAATTATCGAATGTTAAATCATAAGTAATTGCTTTATATCGGTCATCCTTTTTCTTTATCTCGAATAGATCAAAATCTTCTAGAGGGGACTTGAGAGTAGGCGTTTCGATTTTAGTTATTACCTTCGATATTAAACCAACCTATTCTAGATGTTCATAACTGAACCTCTAAACTATAATCTATTTGAGTCATCGAAAATATAAGAATATCTACTATTTTTTTGTTTAAACTGGTTTACATTGTAATGGTTTTTAATAGCTTATAAAAGCAATTTTTATCATTCTTAATAATCAACTTTTCAAAAGAGTAATTTAATTTTAGAGGATTAATTAGTTTTTGATTTTCATAATCACTTTTGATTTTCAAAATCACTTTTGATTTTCTCAGGTGTAACTTAATAATGTTGTAGAAACATTTAAAGTCAGTGATGCAGTGATTAGAGTCTTCATTAAATTAATATTTATTTGCTGATTCTATAAGTGGACATTTTTAAGATATGTGATCTGCTCTACCATTTACTAACATTTTGAAAATCATGATTCTTTACAAACAAACTTTGAATATGAAAATGTCAAAATGCTAATTTCTTGCATTCATAATAAGAGAATCAAATTAAGCATTAAAATCCTTACAATTTTGTATGTGAAGCATTTGAATTCCAGTTATTAGCCTCCTGATTTTGAAGGTGAGGATATATGTTAGATATACACAGCATAACTTGTGGAAGAAGTTATTTAATTATTCTGTTTCCTAGAGACAAAATATGTGGGACCATTTTGTTCGACTAAATTTATCATATTATTTTTATGAGGATACAACATTAATTGAGAATTTTGTGTTAAATAAAAACACTTATTTTTATTACTGCTAAGTCCATAGAGTGTCTAGCTCCGATACTTTGTGGAGTTTTACTCAAGACTTCACTCATCATTAATTGTATGGGAGCTTTCATAAAAAACCTTGCATTTGTGTTATATTTTCATCCGTTTTTTAACAATCTTTAGTATGCAAATAAGTTTTTGCATGTATCGTATCTTAAAACATAGAAAAATGATCGCTCAACATCAAAATCAGAAAATTCATAAATTTAATCGATTGTAACTAATACAAATAAAAATAAGGATCTGCTATGTGACAAAGAATATTTTAAATTATGCTAATCAATCTAAAATAAACATATTTCTATTTCTTTATATTTCGTATTTATATACACAAACATAAAAATTTTTGAAACAAAAATCTAATTGTGGAAATATTTTATTCAAAATGATGGATTATTTCGAATTTAAAACTCAATAAAAAATTTAATATGTTATAAAAGCTTTTAATATAAAGGAAAATAATCACAAAATTAAATTGCAAAATTGTTATAAAAATATGTTCTAAATGAGTTCATCAAAATAATGTAATCACTTTTTTGAGTTTAATTGCCTATGATAAGTTATTCAACTTTGATTGAGAGGTAAATGATAGATAAAACCAGTCAAATTCGATTCTGAGAATGTTGTGAGATTTTTAAAATATAATCCCGTATATTGAATGGATACTAGTAGTTTTTTTTAAATTAAATTGATATCTTAATCACAAAACCAAATTATTCAGCATTTATTAATTATTCTAGCTTCAAAAAGCGTAAGAAGATCCTTTAAGATTTTAAAATGAAATCTTGTGCTGTTCTCATAATAGAAAGCTGCTTAAAAAATAATACAAGACATATAGATAAAACTCTTGGATAAAATCACTTCAACTGAATTTTTTGTATTTCAATTTAAGCACTTTATCAATTATAATAGTTTTTTTCGATCAGCTTGCCAAATACAAATCTTATTTTGGAAAATACAATAGTATTGCCTAAAAATTAGTACTACGTAATTACTAATGATAATATAAGTATTGGTTTTCTAACATTAATTCCTCAAAATACTGTATATATTATATTTAATTTCATTATTTATTTTCTTAGGGCTATGGGAATTAAATGCTCAAATTAGTCAAAGAAAATTAAATCAATAAATAAGTAAGTAATTTCTCATTATTGAATAGTGGTCAACAAAATCAAATAAAGCAATAGAATAGTTAAGAATAAAATATTTCAGAATGTGAATGCCTGATCTGGGATGAAATTAACTCCAGATTCTTTCCAAAAGTAATCTAAATGTCATTAAATAATAAAAATGAGACTTAGTACATTTTAGATGGATAAATTCTTAGAATGTAAATAGTCTAACTAAAACTATTAGAAATGATAAAAACGAATTTTCTCCGTCACTCTTATAAATGGCTAATTTAGAATAGATCAAATATTTGAAATGGGTGAAAAAAATAGGATTCAATCCCTAAAATTTAAAAAAAACTATTGCTATGTGGAATGGTGAAATTCTATTTGAAACTGGTGGATTTTACTCTGTAATTGAACTAAAACAAGGTTTATGGAAACAACTCATCCCAAATTATTGGACGTAAGATATTCTTTGTTTATTATCATTAATAGCAAAGCCAAAGTTTATGAAATTGGAGAATACCAAAACAATTTGAAAAAAGGAATGTGGATTTATTTATATGAGAATAAGAAAATGTATATTTACAATGTTTCTTTAGTGGTGGTGGAAGCTACGACGAATTAGGTTAAAAAAATGGTAAATGGAGAGATTTGAGCGATATATATTGGGAGTATTGTGTTGATTAATTATTAAATAATAAGTTTAGGGTAAGTAACTTATGATGGTGAATATAAAAATGGAAAAAAAATTGGTACTTGGGATATTTTATTTAGATTGTGTATGAATGAAGAGTGTAAATAAATGTACATTACTTTAATTAATAAATATTTAGTGGTGGAGGATAATATGATTATAAACTCTAAGGAGATTCAATTAAAATTGGAAGATGGGTTGAATTGAGCGATGATTTTTATTCACATTCTCGAGTCACATATTGTGGGGAATATAGGAACGGAAAAAAAGAGGGAAAATGGGATATATTGTATATTAATAAGGAGAATAACAAATAATAAAAAATGTAATCTAAATAAAACATAGTTTAAGAGGAGGCGGATTATATGAGAATAATATAAAAATTGGAAGCTGGATTGAACTAATAAGTAGGTTTTCTTAAAAAAGATATGTAAAATTTTAAGGTGACTATAAAAATGGGAGAAAAGTTGATAAAAACTTAGAATAGATGTAAAACTGATAAACAAAGATTTTAGTGGTGGTGGATTATATGATAATAAAGTGCAAGGAAAGGAAATTAAAATTGGGAAATGGATTGAATTACTTGATTGGTTTAGTTGGGATTCATAAATCACAATTAACGGTGATTATTTAAATGGTAAGAAGGTTGGTAGTTGGAATTTTTTTTTAGGATAAATAATGAATTTAAAAATGTGTAAATTTAAAACTTATTAAAGAGGCGGTGGTACATATGATTTCTTACAGGAAAAATCTATTAAAGTTGGGAAATGGAAAGTCTTGAATGATGGGTTTCATTGTTAATCAAAAGTAACTTATCATGGTGAATACTTAAATAATCAAAAAGCTGGTAGTTGGAATACTTATTATAAAAGATATAGTAAAAAGGAAAGGATGTAAATATTATATAAACAAATCTTTTAGTGGCGGAGGGTTATTTGATATGGGAATCAAAATTGGAAAATGGATTGACTTGGATGAAGTTTTTTAGTATGATGCATAAATTCAATATATTGGAGACTACAAAAAGGGTTAAAAAGTAGGTTAATGGGATACTTATTATAATAATGAATTTTAGGATTAAAGAAACTAAAAAATGTAAATAACAAAGAATCCATAATAGTGGTGGAGGAATGAGGAGATTGATGGTAATAATTTAGGTTAGTGGATTGAGTTAAGCGATTATTTTAATAAATTATAATAATAAAATTATAATGGTGAAATTTATGGAAATCAATTTAATAGCTATGAGATTTTTTAGAGTTCATGTAATTAATTTAAACAGATGTAACATAAAAATTATAAAAATATTAGTGGTGGTGGTTTATTTGACGAAGAGGAGTGCGGCGTTAAGATTGGAAATTGGATTGAATTGATCGATGGATTTGAAGCTAGATAGTAAATTACTTATAATGGCAAATATAAAAATGGTAAAAAGGTTGATGGTTGGGTGAAAATGGATATAAGATGGAACTTAAAATTAGGTGATCTGATTTATGATAATTGAATATAATAATAGGAAGGCTAAAATTTTAGTAAATAAGTGAGTAAATAGGTTCTTAAGCATAAAGACTAATATTTTATAATCTATTTTTTATGATAATTTTAATTTATAAAGCTTCATTCAAATTTGATGAAATTTGAACTTAATCCTTTTCTATAAGATAAAAAATAGTCATAAAACTTAGGCAATATGGAAAATTAGTTGCCTAATTTAATATTTATAGAGTAATATAATTTGGTTAACAAATTCAATTTTCAACATATCTCAATATTTTATAAAACTTATTCTAAAAATATTTTTATATTTTGAAAATTTTCTTATTAGTTAAATTTTAAAATAATAGAAAATAAATGAAAATGAAAATTATATTAATAACAAATCATGATAAATGCAACAAATTGAAAATGCATTTTTGGATTTGTAAATAATATAAATTCTACATCTTAATTACTATAATAAAAAGAAAAGATACATAAATTGAGTGCTAAAAATTTGATTTTAAGGATAACTAATTTAAAATTATTTATAAATACATTTCGTAATATGTAAATTAGCACTATTATCATCAATTTTTTAACCAGAGAATTATTCATTTAAGGTTAGATATAATTCTATCTTTCTATTACGGATCTTGAATTTTATACCTTTACAATATTCTACAATTCATCAAATAATTTCATAAGCATTTTTGTTTATCATTAGATAAATATTTTAGAATGTTTGAAACATAAATTTAAACATTGCCACACCCTTAACAGATATCATCTATATAAAATACAAGGAATTCTATTTAATAGAAAATACTTAAAATGATATAAGAGATTAAATTATAAATGATCAAATATTTGATGAATTAAAATAATCTTTAATTAATTAAGAATATTAAATAGAATAGATGAATTACAATGAAGTTATTAATAATTAACATCTATTTAAATAAATGAAATAATCAATTAATTTAGTTAAATTGATAAATTCAAAACATAAAAAGATCATAAAATGAAAAGATTGATTAAATATTTTATTCAGATTTAAGATCTAGATTTGAACAAATAATTCAATATTAGTAAATAAATGTTTAAAAATTCAATTGAATTCTTAAAGTAATTAATGAAATTCATAACTTATTATAATCAACATATGATGATAAATACAAATCTAATCAATTACATAAAATAATAGAATAAATTACTTACTTTATGGATAAATCTTTAAATTTTCAATTTTCATAAAAACTATTTAATCAAACTGTTGATTAATTTTTCAATATCAAAGATGATATGTAGAATTTATAATCAATTTTAAATAATAAGAAATTAGAAAAATCTTAAGAATTACAATGTATTTTAGATGAATTCAATAATTATTCAGATAAATTTAATGAAGATTACATTTAATTCTAATAATTTATAGAAATAAATTTAAAATTAAATGAAAAATTACATAATTAAAACAACAAATTCAAATTATTTAAGTAGAGAAATTACAATAAACAATTTAATTTGAAAATAATTCTCGATGATAAGTTTGTCAAACGTTAAATTATTGTAAAGTCTTCGCTTTAGATATGGAGAATTTGTATATCAATTGTATAACATAATTAAATGATGACGATTTTATCTATTACCAATAAATGTATCTCCCCAATGAGATAAATTATATAATATCATTAAATTTCATCAGTTTTTAAATTTAATACTATATTAAAGTCATCATAAAGTTGTGCAGTTGCACCGTTTACTTTTTGTACTGAAAGCTTTTTGTAGTATTTGCATTTATCTTTGCAATTAAGTCATAATGACAAAGTGAAGATACTTTATTTTTTTATAAATTAGTAATAGATAAAATTTTACAAATTCATAAATCATCATATTTTTTTATAAATTAATACACCCTAAATTAGTTATAATAATAAAAATTAATTTCTTGCTCAAATTTATATTCAGAAGTTATTTATATATTTATATATTTTAATAGAATATCTTTAGTATTAAATTCATCAAATTTTAAATATTGAAATACTCCTTAATATTTAAATGATTCCAAAATAGCTGTCATAATCATCAAATTTTATTCATTCTGGGATCTGAATAACTATCATAATTATGTTCAAATGTTTCTGAGAAGGCTATAAAACTAATCTAAGAAAAGAAAGGATTTTTGACATTATTGTTTACAAAACAAAATTAAGAATTAGATCAATAGAAATTATAAATTGAAGTACCAAAATGTTCTTGAGTCAGATCAGAAAAAAATATGTGGATCAATTTGAATCAGCATTATGATGTTTTTTAAGTCTTATTAATTTATAAAAGATATGAAAAAATGACCTAACACTCATCAATAACCAGTTTCAATTTATTTTTTCTCTGAAAAGTACTTCCTAATGGTTTTTTAATTTTCATTACATTTATTGTGATTTATTCTTAACTAGAAAACAGCTTTAAAAAAATTAATAATGTTGATTTTAACTTAAATACTAAATTTACAAAAATAGAAAAAACGAAAAGCATTATCAATTTCGGAATTTCAAACTTATAACAAAATCAGTCACAAATAATTAATAATTGAAAATTTTTCACTAATTGATCTATAGGATCACATGTAGGACTACTTGTAGAAATCAAAACTTTAGAAAGAAACAAAACAGAATAATTAATAGAAAAAATTAAAACAAGAAATATTTAACACGACTGGATATCAATTATATTTGAAGAAAATGGTATTAGGATTAAAGAATATTGAAAAAACCTAATTTATGTTTATTTTATTAAATCATAGAAAATATTTGGCTCATAATTAGATGATAGGCATTTCTCATAGAATCGATAAGCATAATTGTAACCCATGAAGAAGTGAGATATTTAAAAAAAGCTCAAACTAAAAAAAGACAATAAACAATGATAAGCTATTTGATTTTATTGGCTAGAGAATCTATTCATAAATAAATTTTTGGTCTTAATTTGTTCATTATCCTAATCGATTTAACCCAACTTTCCTCTTCTTTATTAAACTATGAATCGCTTATCAAATTTAATGTACTTATAAAAGAATTCTATTAATATTTGTAATATTAAGTTGTTTAGAACTTGGAATTTTATCTATAATATATAAAGTGACTATCAGCTAGTTCTTATATGCTTGTGAATACTATAAGAAAAATCGATATTTTCTCTAAAGACTTAAAGATAGGATCTGATAAAACTTAGGTTTTAAGGGAAAAATTTTTCATTTAATCTAAATATTAGGTGTATTGAATTAAATATTAGGTGAAAATCATAAATATGTGAAAAGTAATGAAATTGTTTATTCGGTGATTGTTTTGATTCGGTCAATTAAAAATTTGAATTTTGATATAATTTAGATGCAAATGATAGCACCGAACTAACATATAATAGTGGCACCTAGATTATTTTTTGAATTTTTAGCAGCTATCACTTGACTAAAACTGAGATTAGGTAAATAGATGTCTGAGTGAATATGAAAGCAACAATAGTTTCTGTGGTTAATACATCCTCAGGATACCAAATTTTTAATTTGAAAGCTGAAACTATATGGATAGCAATCATTTTCAGAGTTTCTTGAATCTTATCACTATTTAACATTATAAAGAAGACGGATGGGTTAAGCTACAGATGATTAAGACATAAGTTGCATCAATAGGAAAATGGTCAGACAGTTTTAAATATTTTTATTTTATAGGCTCTAACAATAATTTTTGAGCAAAGGAATCAGAATTTCTTTAAGTTGTATGAAATTTAGAAAAAATTTAGTTTTTATACTTAGAATAAGAAAGAATGGGAAACAATTATTTTAAAATATTACCTTAGTTCTAAATTTAGAGAAATATTTGTTGCAATTAATTGGATTATAGTTTGAGCTAATTGCAATTACTATGAATTAGATAAATACAATTAGGTTCTTCATTTTTATTAATATAATTTATGTTCTAGTAATTTTGTCTTAAAGAGCTAAATTTTAATTCTCCTAGGTATTTTAAATAGCTCTTTTATTTTTAGGATCTGTCTAATACTTATTTTAATAAAATTATATGCCATAATTTTTATTGTTTGTTTTTAATGAATAGATCAAATCTACAAGGAAAGGCAGTTCATTTACCCTAATACATAAATGCATTTTAGTTATAATGAAAGTTCAAAATTGTTTTAAAAAGGAGTTTGATAATATAATAAGTTACAACCAGATTGTTTCCTTATAGTCAATAATTGAAAGAGAGATGAAATTTTTGAAGAAACATTTTCTTGACACCAAAGATGGAACATTTCTTTATTGCTTCTAAACTGATAATACAATTTTCTCCAACTTTTTGGTATCTCTATAAATGTTTATGCTAAATTAGCAAAAAACAGCCAAAAAAAACAACCCCATATTCAAAACTCCTCTTTTTATGGAAATTTATAATACATCAATGTGCAACAAAAATTAGAAGAATTTTAAATAATTTTATTAAAAATATTTATTGAAAATGCGAATGTTAAGAAGTTTAATCTTAATTTATGGTGATAGATATTTGATCCTTGGCACATACTGAAGGTTAAGAGATTTCTAATATCATTAGGAAAATTAATTTATGATGACAATCCTATTATAATGAGGTTATATTAATTTTTAAATAATATATATCCGAATTAATGAATTTTTAACTCTTGAATACCTTGGGATATTAAATCCCTTATGAATATTGGTTGGCAACATTAACCAATTTTATCAAAGAATTCAAGGATTAAAAATTCTTTCATAAAATATTGGAACATTAGGTATAGTCTCTTATTCTTTTGTATTCAATTGGTTGCTTTGATTATTTACTATTGGAAAAAGACAAGGGCATCAGATAATAATTTAGGGACTCAAAAATTGTGTATTATTTCATCTTTGTTGCAAAACTAAATCAGCTTTAATTAAGTAACTTCAAAATTATATTCAGTCCTGTACTGGTTTTATATTTCGTCCTTTAAAATAAAGTCCTATATTACCATTAATATTAATGAATAGTTTCGA